GGGAGGAGCGGGGCTCGGCAGAGGGGCAGCCGTGTGGGCAGTGCCCAAAGGGTGTCAGAGGCGGGAAGACCAGTGCCCAAGCTGGGTGCCTTGCTGCCCCACCGAGGGTTCCTGCCTTAATGGACGAGCTTCCAGAGGAGGAGCCCTGTGGCCCTGCAGTTTGGCCACGGTGCGGGAAGGACCCCAGGCTAAGGGCAGGGGACTGGGTTCAGGTGAGGCCAAAATGCTCCAGGCTCAAGGGTATTGGGCAGGGCCAGGGATTTAGCTCAGTGTTTCTGCCTCCTCCCTCAGAAGCACAAGAGCCCTAGTTCCATCCCCGGTATCAAAAAGTTTCTTAAGGGTATTGGGCAGGTCATCCCCTAAGCTTGAGCTTGAGAGCTGACACCCCTGAAGAAGGATGAGACAGGGGGTTCTCATCTTCCAAGGGCAAACAGAAGCTGTACCTGTGCTAGGATGGTGCGTCCACCTTAGGGACATGCAGGGCTCTCCATCAGCCTCCTCAGCACATAGGCAGTCTGAGTCCTGCTGCCTCTTTATCCCCTCCCAGTTGCAGTAGTGGGGAGGCAGTCTGGGCGTGGCCAGTCTTGTGGAGGGGCAGCCATGGAGAGCATGGGGCAAGGAGGTGAACTTGCTGGGGGGCTGGAGCCAGGCAGAGGGTTGCTTCTGCTCAGCAGAAGGTGTAGGGCACCCTGCAAAGCCAAAGGTTACTGCAGTAGGGCCACAGGTGAAGTGTATGGGGCCAAAGGGGTGATGGGAAGAGAAAAGCTGGTCTGCAAAGGGGCTGCTGGGCAGAGATGGTGGAGCAGGGGCATCTTAGGACAGAGGTCTGGCCTCAGGGTCCTCCAGGTGGGGGACGTGGGAGGGGAGCAGCTGGTTCTTAGGCTGCCACCTGGAACCTTGGGAAAATGCAAATTCTGCTTCTGTGGGGATCAGTGGGCCCAGGATCCTGCACCTCCAGTTTCCAGGGATGCCTGGCGGCCCATCTAGCACTCACAGAAGCCAGGGAGGCACTGACACTGTGGTCTAGTGCTGTCTTCAGATCCGTGTGGCTGTTTAATTCATGTCAGATGCCCAGTGACTGCTGTCTTGGACAACACAGGCACAGATTTTCCTCTCATAGCTAAGTTCTGCTGTACAGTGCTGCCCTGAGGGAAGGGGCTATGTCCACAGCTGTGTCCTCAGGGCGTAGTACTCAGTGAAGGAGGAGCCACAGTAGAGGTCAAGGAATAAGACACGGAGAAATACCAGTCGAGGAAGGGCATGGTGTGCTTCAAGGGAGCAGACCGTCAGATGCTTGAGTCCTTTGGGGCTAAAGTGAGGAGAGACAGTGGAGCCGCCCTTCTGGTGGTGGGAACATGGCTCAGGGTGCTCTGTGGCGATGCTTTCTTTGGGCAAGAGGCCCAACTGAAGGCTCCTAAATCAGCTAGTTCCTGCCCTTTCCTGAAGCCTTGCTCCACCCAGAGGGAGGATTTAGGTGTTCTAGGGACAGCATGGCCTGAGACACAGCAGAGAACTCGCAGTGGATGTTCCCCTGTGGGCTTTTGATTTACCATCCCCTTTGTCAAGGGCTAAGGAAAAGGAGTATGAAAAGCCAAAAGGAGTTGGAACATTACTTTTCGAATAGAATGACAGGTTTCTCTGTGAAAGGGCTGGGCGTGCTGGCATTGCAAAGCAAATCTGCAGCTTCACACTCCCCTCCCCTGCACCCAGCGCCTGGTTCTGTAGCCCACGCTGCAATCTCTCACACTGCCAGGGTTTCTAGCACTCAATTCCGTGTTGCAGCTGTAATACCCACGATTGCGTAGTATCAACTCAACATTTCAATGGAATCAGCGCCTGCTGAGGTCCTCTTACCCTGGCTATTCCCCAGTTATTTATTTTGCCGTCCCATCCTAATTAGCCAGCGCTCGTCACCAGCTTTTTCTGCAGGTAGGACTCAGAGCTTCCCGGGTTCCTTGCGTCAGAGAACATCTGCCCATTGTCTTCATCTCTGAACAGGGCTGTAGGGGTGTGTTTTCTTCCCTCAGCACCTGGTGACTGTTGTTCTTCTGACTCTAGCTTTAAGTGTTGCCATAGTGAAGCATCAGGCCAGCTAATTTCTTTTCCTGTATGGGTGACTTGCCTCTTCTTCATCAATTTCTGAAGAATTCTTGTTGTTTGGGAGTGTTCATGTTTAGTCCATTTAGCAAGATCTGCCTCAGAGTCACATGTTTTGTGTTAAACTTCTAGTACACCGTGTACTCTGAATCCCTATGTACACCCGTTTTTCTAATTTCATAGGGATTTATGTCCTTAAAATACCTTCTGTTGTTACATTTGTTGTCTTTACTTCAGGAATATCAATTGTGTTGGTTTTCTTTTTTGCTGCTGTGACAAATTACCGTGATCTTAGTGACTTAAAAACAACACAAGTTTCCTCTTTCACAGCTCTAGGGTCAACAGTCTGGCAGAGTCCTGCCGGGGCGAAAGCAGGTGTGGACAGGGCTGTGCTCCTTACTGGGGCTCTAGGGGACTGTCTGCTCCTTGGCCTTTTCTAGCTTCTAAACCCCACCTCCATACCCTGCATTCCCATTTCCATCTTCAGAGCCCAAGATACTAGATCTCTTGGTCTCTCCTGCCTCCTCCTTCCACTTCGAAGGACTCCGTGGCTATTTTGTGCCCACCTAGACAATCCAGAACAACATCCCTATCTTATGGCCACCTAGTGAACAACTTCATTCCATCAGCTACCTAAGTCCCCTTTGCCTCTCTTCTGCCTTGGGAACCTCATGAGGTCACAGATTCTGGGGGTTGGGATGTGGCATCTCCAAGGCATCCGTTACTCTGCCTGACACCTCAGTTGTCCTTGTGTTGGACCGTCTCCATCTGTCTTCCACGTCCGTTCGCTTCTCTCTGGTGGCTCTATTCATTTTGTGTTTCTCTTCTGAATTTCTGTGAATATCTTGTCTTTCTTTTTGGTGGGAGTTTTGATTATAATAAATTGTTTTCAGCTGTTTCTAATTTAGCTGTTCAGTTGCAATTTGTTGTTGTTGTTTTTTGTTTGTTTGTGGGTTTGTTTGTTTTGTGTTTTTTGGTACCAGGGATGGAACTCGGGACCTTGCGCTTGCCAGGCAAGCAGCAGAACCACTGAGCTACATCCCGGCCCCAAACTTTTCTTTAGTTTTGCAATTTTCCTTTTTTCAATTCATTTCAATTAGAAAAATTTTAAAGTCTCATTAAAAAATCTCTTCTTTTCACTTGCATTTTATCAACTTAATATTTTTATTAATTGTTCTACTGTTGAACCAATTAGAGTGAACTTTTTTCGGTTCCTTGGATTGTTTTCCTTTAGGTGAGGTCTTTTGTCTTTCTTTCCTCCCTTAGCTTTTTGCTGAGGAGTGATGTGCATACGGAAAAGCAAGCACATTGCAATTGCATACCTCAGTGAACTCTCACAAACCTAACACACCATGTAGCCAACACCTAGAGAAAGAATAGGTGCGCCACCAGCTTCCCAGAGGCCCTGCAGCACTCTGGCCCCCAGGATAGCCACTGTTGTGATCTCTAACAGAGGGGTCAGTCTTGCAAGTTTATATTGTGGCCAGTACAGGATGTATCTTTTGTGGCTACTTCTCTCGCCGCTTTTACATGTGAAGTCCCAGGTTACTATTCTCAGTGTGTAAAATCCCTTGTGTGACTGACTATACCATGGCTTATTTGTCCATCCGTTTAGGCGCGTGAATTTGGTGTCCAGTTTCTGACTGTTATGATTCGTTCTGCTGTGAACTTGTCTTGTGTTTCTGTCAGGGTACCTTCAGTATGAAAATGTTGAGTATTACACTTGTGTGTGAGGCAGAGAATTCAACTCAACGGTGGATGTTGTGGTTTATATCTAGCTGCCCCCCCAAAGCTTCGTGCATTCCCAGGTGGGGCTTTAGGGATGTAATTGTATCATGGGGGTGCAGAGGAGGCCCTCTGGTCATGGGGGTTGCCCTTGAGGGAAGGCCCATGACCACAGGGCCTCCCGCCAAGCCCCTCCTCTGAAGATCTTCCCGCTGAGCACCTGCCCTCCACCCGTGGCCTCTGGGGACACTTGTGCATTGCTATGGTCTGTCCTGAGCACTCTGCACCAGCCCTGCCCAGGCAGCTCTGCCCGGGCCCTCCCTTTGCTTCCTCCCTCCTGGGCGTCTCCTGTCCTTTCACTGAGGTCGGAGGCCAAGGTCCTGGGTTCCGGACCTGCCCGAGGACCCTGCTGCCTGCCCCAGACCAGTGGAGGTGTCTTCCGATCTCACAGTGACACCACACACCCTGGCCCCTCCCAAGGTGCTCCGTGCTGTCTGCAGGAAGATCCCAGGCCAGCTGTTCCCCTGGACGCTCTGCGTCTCCCAGGCAGGTGTGGGAGGGAGGGGGGCCCCAGCCATGCTGGGATGAGCGTCAGTGCTGGACCCCACATTCCGCTCCTCTGCTTCCCTCTCATCTCCCCGCTGGTGCTGGCACTGTTTCCCACCCAGCCCTTCCTTCTCTGCTTTCATAGTTTTCTCCGCTTTGGGGATCTCCTTCGCGATGGTGGAGGGAGGTGCACTAAACAGATGCTGAATGCTGCATCTCTTGTCTCCACTTTATTTTTCCAGCAAGAGAGACACA